TCTCTGGAAAACCCTTAAAACATGAATTTTGAACTTTGTCAGTGACTCCATTAGAAAGAGCACACTCGAAAACCTACAAAAACATATCTGAGAGATCTTTCCAGCGCTTTAAAATCCAATGTCCATATGCCTAGGCACTGTGCGTTCCTGGTAACGGTAACGGACAAGCAGTTACCGTACAAGTAACGGTAACTGTTCAGTATATCTTGCAAGAGTCAAAGGTGACAGTTATTTCACCTATATATATATATGTGTCACATATCATCGTTTTATCCACTACATATGAAGAAATGTTCGGCGATGGCTATCACGATAAAGCGGAGACTAGCTTTTTTATTGTGCTTCAAAAAGTGAATAAACGACACAACGTAAAATAAACAATGTTTCCAGTAAACAATGAAGAATAAAGAAAACATAAATTTTAAATTTTGTCTTTTAAAAATAATGAATATTTGATTGTTGTTGGTGATAATGAACAACGATTCTTTCTTGTAATATATGCTGCAACAGAGAATGTAGATTCACTTGGAACACTTGTCATAGGAATCTCTGAAGAAATTTCTTGGCTATATATGATAATATTGGTAAACGTTGTTCATGCTCTAACCAAAAGGTTGACAGATCATAATCAGCCTTTGACAATCCAACATAAATTGAAATTTCTTGTGTCACTGCTGCTCCCTGTGTAGATGATCGTTTGATTGCCATTTTTGGGAGGGGTAATGTTGTTGCTGCTGGCACACTACATTTTCTCATCAATATTTGCATTTTAGTAATAGGATTTAATGTTGACTTTTGTGATATTGGTAGTGGTGCTATTTTTATAGATGACTGTGATAACCAAACATGATCGATAATGCATTGTTGTGCTGTCGACTTCTCTTAGATTGACATTTCAAGAGGGCTCTCTGGGTTAAGAAATGCAGTAATCTAAAGAAAAGAAGAAAAACGATGTTGTTAATAAGCTGGTTTCAGTTTAAAACAAAGGAAGTTAAATTGTTGACTAATTCTAATGTATACATATCAACATAATATTTAACTGGTTTTAATTTATTTGTTGTTTGAAATAATACTTAAATTTTTTTATTATACGTCGTTTAACATAGTTTTCAAATGAATCTGTTGATTTCATCTCTAATAGAAACTGTATCGATTTCATAATATTTAAAACGATTGATGATGTTGAATAAGTACTCCTTGACAGAAGTTCAATTGCATCCAGCAGGGGATCTAAGATGTTACTCAACGTTTGAATTGCACGCCATTCTTTATTCAGTATTTTTAAATGCTCAACCTTTATTGACAATGGTGAATACGCATGAAAATCGTTGATTATTTCTTTGAATAATAGCAAACGTTGTAACATTTTAAATGTAGAATTCCATCTAGATTTTACATCTAATATCAATTCGACCTTCTTTTGTCTATCATTTACTTGTTTTCGTATTTCAGTTGTTAAGACCGATGATTTTCGTATCTTTCGAATATATTTACGGCATTTCTCGATTAATTCAGCATCCATATAGAAATTTCCAAAAACTTTTTTCAAGTTTTACGCAGAAAAACGCATGCAAAAACCTAAGTGAAGTAACGCAAAATATGGTTACACGAGCGAAATAAATACAGTTTTTTGTGTAAACAAAATTTTGCGTAATTTTGCAAGAAAATTTTTTGCATTACAACGCAAGAATGCAGTTGGTGTGTTTCCAAGACAACGATGAGTCATCATGATGACTCAGCGTTTATTTTGCGTAATTCTGCAAAAAAAAGATATTTTATTTTTAACAATATTTATACAAAATAGCACCAAAAAAAGTTGTTTCGATCAGGTTATCATGCTTGACTGATCGGTTTTGTGCAAAACAGCATGATCGCAGTTGGAAAATGAATGCACTTCCTGCGTTCACTTTCTCAGTTTTCTTGTGCTACAGATTCTTCAGATGAAAGGTTCGGTTGTAAATAGGATAGGTCATGACCCCGCCGACTAACCCACCCTCACCCTTACCACTCTCCTTGAAGCTAAGAGGAGCAACTTAGAAAAAACTTTCTAAGTGACTCTTTAGTGGAAAAGCGACCATTGATATAGATATAAGGCTGCACAAATTCCGCTTTTTCAAATTATACACTAAATATGATAACTCATCGATGAGTCATAGCAATGAATCATCGTTTTGTTGCGATGTTAAACCAAAAAATTTTTTTGCAAAAAATTGTATCGAAAAATCACACGCAGTATAATGCAAAAAAAATATTCTGCGATAAAAGACAAAAAACTATCGTTTTTCTGTTTGTTTGGCAAAAAACGCACTTTTCTGCAGAAATCGTGAAAAAAATTTGACCTGAGTAATTTTGCAAAACTTTGTTTCTTGCAAAAACCCACAATAAATTTGTCATATTTTTTGCAAAAACAAAATTTTGCAAAAAGTAACAAAAAGATTATCGACAAAATTCTGCGTTAGTTGACCTTTTTGCAAAATTTTGTGCGCAAGTCGCTCTTTTCTGCGTTATTTCAATGTTTAACGCAGAAATTAACTGAAAAATTTCTACATGGGTACGGACAAGGCAAAGTACGTATTAGGTTTATTTGGCGAAAAAACACAAAACTTTTACTTATTTTCGGCTAATACAAAATTTTGTAAATATTTGGTTGAGTAATTTTGCAAAACTTTGTTTCTTGCAAAAATCCACAATAAAAATGTCATATTTTTTGCAAAAACAAAATTTTGCAAAAAGTAACAAAAAGATTATCGACAAAATTCTGCGTTAGCTGACGTTTTTTGCAAAATTTTGTACGCAAGTTGCTCTTTTCTGCGTTATTTCAATGTTTAACGCAGAAATTAACTGAAAAATTTCTACGTGGGCAATTTCAGGTGCTCCGCATGGTTTATCATGGTTATCAATTTGTTTATCTTCATCGGATTGTTGTTCGTCATTATCAGTATCGGAATAATCCCCTTCATCGCTATCCGAACTATTTTGTGATTCATTAGTTGAATTGAGGTCTGGTGTGTCAGTTTCATCTTCTTCACAACCAGATGTTTCATTGTTTTGATTTCTAAAAGAAACCCAAATGTTATTGTTTTGTGGTAGTTTGGACAAGTACACTAAACCACAAAGTAGAATTTTTCTTTTAATTGAACGAAAAAATTGGATCATTGGAATTTCAGAGATTCTTTAAGATCTCTATAACTGGGGTTATTTAAACGATCACACATTCGTTAAGCTCGATACAATTTCCGATAGTATTAAAAATTCCAACTGCTCCAATACTCCTCAAATTCCCTGTTTTTAGACAAATGTACCTTCGCAACGAGTTAACCTAGCAACGATTCTTAGCGAAAAATAAAACTTTTCTACGAATATTATGTAATCTATGGATTTCCCCCCCGAAGTAATGTTTCTAGCGAATAGAATAAAATTACTCTGCGTTTTTTTGTTGTTTTTGTGGCCATAAACATAAAGATTTTTGAAATGTAAGATTTAGTGCATGGGCGCAACAATAAATATGAGAATCAAAACCAGTTAATTTCATATTACTTCCATTGTCGGTTGTTATCGATATAATTTTATTTTGTAAATCATATTGTTGAATAACACGATTTAAATGTGAGTTTGATCGTTTTGAATAATGTTGCCCGAGAAAACGTCTAAAACTGAGCACTGCTGATTTAATTGTAAAATCTTTAACCATGAAATGTACTATTACACAACCATAATATGAACGTCGACTACTGAACCAAAGATCATATATCAACAACATGTTATCAATTGAACATAATTCATCTTTCAATTTGTTTCTTTCATCCATATGTAAAGCATGTAGATGACGTTTGACTGCACGACTACTTGGTCCGTAGTAATTTAGTGTAGCTTCTCTGAAAAATGTTTGCATTCCAGATTTTTTAAAATCGTTAAAACTTCTACCATCACGAATAATGCATTTGATTGCAGCTTTATCCAAGGCACTCTTGTTGAATGCCCGAACACGTTTCGACAATTGAAATGTTGATTTATAAATTAAATGTACTTTTCCATGTTTACTACCTAAATATTTTCGAATATTTGTGGTTGAACCAACATCATCTTTATATGTCTAAACATAGAAACAAAAATGGAATTGGATTATAGGAAAACTTAATTTTTCCTGAACATTATAAATAAAGACTACGCTTCTAAACCACCGTGCGCACAAGTATTCTCGTTAAACTAACTCAACCGTGCGGTCTTCATCTTGTACTCCGAATTACCCTTTGATATCTATGCAATAATCATCTTTTGCCTCCGGAAGCTTGAATCCCTAGTAAAAAGAGCACGATTTTTTCTTCGTTTTTTTAGAAGCAATTCAATCTTAGATTTTTCCAAGTCATTTTTTGATGAAATTCTAACGTTATATGTGCATCTTGTTCTTTATTTTCGATTATATCTCCTTTCCTCTCAATTGAAAAAACGAAAAACTGATCTCCTCCGGATGGCAAAACTTATATTATGCAAAGACGTCGAACATAACCGTTACTTACCTTGTCACATAATAAACATAAAAATTCAGTTTGATCTAATCGTTTAGCGAATTCTAAAACAGGAGTTGGTTTTCGCCGTGCTTGTCGTGTTTGCATTGGAATCGGATTGCTACTACTAACATCACTTCCATCATTTGTCATCTCAACATTCGAAAGGTTATTTTCACGTTTACTTAGGTCAACTATTGCACGTGTCGATGAATTATTCCTTGATATTGATACTGGTGTTGAATCTCTTATTGTTGATGTTTGAACCAATAAATTAGACTGAGCCAATGGACTACTCTGTATATGTGCTAATGTCTGATGCCGACACCTGGTGTTTTCCTTACAATATAGGTGGATACCGTTAGATCAACCGTTGATGATATCCTTGAAGCATTCACTGACGAATTCGATTTTTCAAAATACCTTCTGACTTAGTCATATTTCAAAAAAAACACTTAGTTCAACTTTGTAACAATAGAAAAGCCGAAAAGACCTTCTTCACTTTCCACCAGATATACTGTTCTCAAATAACTGTATACTTGTTACGTGCATCATGTTCCGAAGAGTAAGCCGGTAAAACATGCTGCATTTAAGTGACAAACTGGATGCTGACAAATTATCCTTCCTCCCTGATTTGCAAACCTCTGATATTACTCTTTTTCTGATGCTTATCTTTCTGTTTTGTGATTTTACTGATTTATAATCTATATAAATAATGTCGAATAAACATGTAGCAAAGAAGAAATCCTCGTATACTCAAGGCAACTTTATCACAAGGCTGGATGATACTCCGAGCAAGAAAACAACACTGTGAAATGGCGAGAATGAAAAACTTCGCTCCACGGATGTAGGACTCATGCAGCGATTATAGGAGTCATGTAGCGAGAACAGTCTGTTGCGCTGATTTTTTTCCATAAAATGTAGGACTCATGTCACGACATAGGAATAGCGAGAATGAAGATTCGCCCTAGTTTAATGGATAGAAAGCAGGACTCATATAGCGACTTAGGGAGTCACGCCGCGAGTATAGCGAAAGTATAGTCACTTCATCGGGAATTTATAGCGATCGTAGTAAAAGCGTCACATTTATCGACTTGACTCCTATTCGCGTGACGCATTCACGCCGTGACTTTCCATCGCAAGTCATGTAGCGATTTTTTCGAGATAGTTGAGACCTGCGGATCTTAATCAGTTGTACGCTATAAGGTAGGAAAAATATACAACCCGCATAAAATTCCCAGTTACAGTTACTTCAACAAATGTTTCCAAGCACATCGAAAGCCTCGCTCTTTCAAATGAGAATCATATGCATAATATAGCAGACAAATTCCAAACGAATATCCACTAACTCTGATAATATGAAAACCTCAGACTGTTCTTGTTTTTTTAAATCTTTATTTTCTGTTCATATTGTTCGTTTTGTCGGTGGTGACTTCTAAATGTCTAAAAGGTGATATTTATTTTCATCGTGTAGTTTGCTTGAAATTATAAAATACTAGTTCATTTTGAGTGTATAACCATGTTGAGGATTAACATCATTCTTTATTGTAAACTTTTTTCATTGTTGTTATTAATGTTTATTATTTTTCTCTACTTATGTAAATGATCAGATGTACATGTATGTATTTGATATACTTTTGAATACATCACGCGTTACGTTTCACTCAAACACTACTACTTCATGTCACCGATGCGCCAAAGTCGAAAAAGCCGTCACCAAATGCTAATCACTCAACCAGCTCTTTAGCTTTATCATTCATTGACGATTCATGAGAAATAAGAATTTCGTTTCATTTGAGAAAAGTGCTAATGACAAAAAATATAAAAATAAACATAGCGAGAGTAACACTTGGTTTTCTTTGAGTATCATAATAAAAAAGAAATATCATGATGCCAGTGGGGAGAATCGAACTCCCATTGTTCGGACCACAACCGAACGTTCTACCACTAAACTACACCGGCGAAATTATTTCCTTTCTTTGGTGACTTGGTGACACTCATGGAATGTAGGAAATACAAGAGGTCTAACGAAACGCTGTGTATCCTGTTTAGGCATGGTGATAGATCACATCTTTGGCAGGTGATAGGGGATATCTGTTGAAGAAAGGATAAGAGAAAAACGAAAAAGGCTGGACAATGACATGTATATAGCTGAATGCCTGAAGGTGATTTCTGTATGAAATCGAAAGCTTGCACTTTCCATTAAGTTATTATTTGTCAAAGTCTAATTAATATGTCACCTCCATTTTGCTCTATTATTACTAACTCTTCTGCTCGACCAGCGTCACCATCACTCAGCACTCCTTCAAGTCTAGTGTCGAAAATATTTCTCTTTCAAATGAAATAGCTTAAGTCAATTTATGCGATGTTCATTTAGCCCTTTTAAAGAAAGTCCTCCATTCAGCTTTATTTATGCTTTAAGAAAAAAAACACCAATAAAAACAATCTTTTTAGAAACAGTTCCAGCCTCGTTCAGAGAGCATATTATGGAAGCAAAATACCATATATACTTAGAAGAAAGTGGACGAAAAATGGATTATATTTGCATTCCATTTGTTTTCAAGATTCTTTTAAGAATTTCAAGACAAGATTCTGGTAGAAAAAAATGAGCAGACTCTTGCAGCAAATCGCTTTCTTGTGCCTTCAGACAAGAATCCGTCTCGCAATTCTTGTATGAAATCACAAGAAAGCGATTTTCTGCAAGGTTCTTGTGCTAAAAATATATGTAAAATACTTTACAAGATACTTGTCTGAAATGCCAAGAAACAAGAAGCTTGCAACAATGAAAAACAACAAGAACGTCGACCAGTGAGGTACTTCGTTTCGTGCGGTAAGAAAAACATTTTTCTTATCGTCGCACGTTATATTTCCTCTTTCCTTTACTTCGGTCGGCATACGTGACAAATGACCTATACTCAATGACCTATAAGTTTGATCGTAATGTAAGAAATATTATTTTTCTGATAAATGAATATTGTTGAACAGTCGTTTGCTAACGATTAAATTTCAACAATCATCATCGATTACAATAAATGGAATCCGTCTCATGAATAAACATCTTCTCTCCTATAAAAATAAAGCTCTTTACCTATGGAACATACAAGAATCTGAAGAATTCCTTAAATTAGATAAAACTTTACTCTACACATTCAACTAAAATGGTAACAGATTTGTCACTATGTGTGCTACCAACGAAAACACACTACTAACATACGATTTAAAAGAGAGATTAAGAGGTGAAATGACACTGGAAAGTGATCAAAAACGTGACCCAATGTGCTGGAGCAAAAGCGATGAATATCTGTTTCTTATTGATAAAGACAAATGTTGCTTATAGTGATGGGTCGTAAGAGGTGAGGAGTGTCATGTTTATCGTTTCTGTTCTTTCGTTCGTCGTGATCTAAACATGTAGAGTATAGGTCATTTGTCACGTATGCCGATAGAAGTAAAGGAAAGAGAAAATATAATGTGCGACGATAAGGAAAATGTTTTTCTTACCGCACGAAACGAAATACCTACGTATATTACACGAAATTCTTAACGTAGGTGAATCATCCTTAACAAAATAACGTAAGTGAGTCATTCTCAATATACTGTACAGTATACTGAAAATGACTTACGTTATTTCGTTAAGGATGATTACAGTGTAAATGAACATTCCAAGCGATAAGCATACCCTCGTTCAACTTTAGTGTTGAGCCATTGATCTTTTTTGGAGAAAGTGAACAAGTTAAGCTGAATATATATAGTACATTTATATATGGTATATTTTGATACTACTCATAATATGCGCTCTGAACGAGACTCGAACCGTTTCTAAAAAGATTTTTTAAGACACAGTCTCGGGTTTGTATATTATCATAGTCGGTGATTTTAAAAGTATAAAATGCCATTTTTTAAATTATCGGATAGAAGATAAAATAATATATTCCACATTAGACTTTGTTTTTATTTCTGGATGGAAAATTTGATAATTCAGTTTGAATCCATAATAAAATTTTGAATATGTTGATCAGCTTTTACGTAATCATTTTTCATTAGGTTTAATCGAATAATGTAAATATATTGGATAAATGCAAGATGCAAACAAAGATTTTTGAATAGTCAATGATCGACTTCCGGTTCCTTTGTTGTGTTTCTGAGCGGGGCTCGATTAAAAATATTCTTAGACAACAGAATTGTATGACGTATATCTTTAGGCACAACAAAGCAATATAAGTACGGACTAACTTATCCATCAGCTCCAGCAGACCACCACGGACTTGGTCACAATATACTTGAGCTGATCACCTTGTTGGATATCGAAACTGTATTTGAACAAATATATTTATTTGAATATTTGATAATGATCGGTCTAATCTTCCATCTACTCTTCAAATTCAGAAAAAAGAAGTTCAAGTCAAAAAAATACCAGAATTGGAAAGTTTTAATTGTTTTCGTCTGTTGTATAATCGGCGTAGTTTTCTTGATTGAAGTTCTGAAATTAAACTTTAACTATGGTTTTGTAGAGTATTTCGCGGCGCATCTGTTAAAAAAGACACTAACCTTAGAGTCCAAAAAGAAACACGAGAAAAATAGACAATACCGCGAGCGTAATTTCTTGTGAAGCACCCATTAATTATTGTCGTTCACCAGGATCAAAATCGGCCAGATTACATGGTCTACCAAAAATACATACAAATGGGTTACCTGTAGCCTGTTAAGACTACGATTAAATAAAGTGATTTTATGTGTAGACAGTGACTTGATGGTCTTACAAATTAGCGACAAATATGAGTAGGTATTTCATGCAATTTATAATTATTCAACGTTATTTGCCTCTCTTTCTCTCCTCTTGCACTTTCTAGCGAAGCAATTCTAAACAATCTCGAAATACTCGAAGCAGTTGCTGTGCGAAAAAATCGAATTTTTGATAATCCTCCGAAAGATGAGCGAAAGTGGATGTCTGTCAAAGTGGAAAGGATATATAATTATATAATAAATACATAATTCATATCAAAACTCATGCACTAGTGATTTATGTACACAAAGAATAATTATGTTAAAATAGACTACTAGAAAATGATGATTTATTAAAATCAATAATAAAATCATTTATCGAATATATTTACATTATTTGATTAAACCTAAAGAAAAATGATTACGTAAAAGTTGATCAACATATTCAAAATTTTGTTATGAATTCAAACTGTGAATTATTAAATTTTCTATTGAGAAATAAAAACAAAGTATAATGTGGAATATATTATTTTATCTTCTATTCGATAAATTAAAAAATCCATATGAAAAGTATGAAGTTTTGCCAGACTCACCGATAAGACTCACATATATACATATAAAATCTTAGAATTAATTTTGTATTAACTTAGCATAAAATTTGAAAAAGGAAATTCAGAAAAAAAAATTTATTTTATTTCTATTTTTAAGCGTCATTATTCTGGCGCAACTACCAAAGTGTTTTCGCGCCTAAACATGAATAATGGCATTTTTACTCTTTGTTTATTCTGTCTGATTTATCTAACTTTAAAAGAATTAATTCGTAGTGCTCAATTTAATATTTCAGCACTGAAAAATATCGCATTAGCGCAA